ACACAATTAAAAAATGGGCACAGGATTTGAATTGACTTCTCTCCAAAGAAGATATACAAATGACCCACAAGCACCTGAAAACACATATAACATCATTAATCATTATGGAAATGCAAATCAACACTGCAATGAGATTTCACCTTATACTCACTATGGCAGGTATGACTAAAAACAAAAATGGATTATAACAAGTGTTGACAAGAATGTGGAGAAATGGAAACTCTCATACACTGCTGGTGGAAACACAAAATGGTGCAAGTGGTGTGGAAAGCAGTTTGGTGGTTCCAAAACTTAGAATGATTATATGATCCTGCCATTTTGCTCTTAGGTATATACCCAAAATAACTGAAAACAAGTACTCAAACAAAAACTTGTACATGATTGTTCATAGCAGCACTAGTCACAATAGTGAAAAGGTGGAAAGAACCCAAATATCTATCACATAATGAATAGACAAAATATGATATATATGCACATAACAGAATGCTACTCCACCATAAGAAAGAATAAAACACTCCTATATGCTAAAAATGGATGAACCTAGAAAACATTATGCTAGATGAAAGAAGCCAGCCACAAAAGGTAATGTATTGTAGGATTCCACTGATAAGAAATACCCAGAACAGGTAAGTCCACTGAGACAGAAAGTAGAAAAGTGGTTGCTGAGGGCTTGGGGCAAAGGGAGGGGAGAGGTGGGGGAGAAGAGACTAGGAGTGATTACTTCATGGGTACAGCGTTTCCTTTGGATGATGAAATTATTTTGGAACTAGAAAGAGGTGGAGGTTGCACAACACTGTGGAGATATTAAATGCCACTGAACTGTATATACACTTTAAAATAGGTTATTTAGTGTGAATTTTACCTTAAAATGAATGAATGAAAGAAAAAAACAGACTCTTTAAAAGCCTTCCATTTACTACAGAAGAATATTTATGCTTGTAAATACCTTCCAACTGAGATGCAGTTCTTTGTCATCATGTCTATGTATAATCAATCACATACCATTATTTCCCAAATACATGAGACCTTAAGCCTCACAATGTTATATGTTTTATAATATATTACAACCCAGCTGAGATGTGTTAGATCAGCATCTACAAAAGGAATCTATCCCATGTAATTCTTAGTATCAGACAAGTTTAACTACTATTTAGCACAATTATTTTTCTGATGAAAAATAAAATGATTTAGCTATATTGTAGGTGACTGATAAAAGACATTAGTTAGAAATGTTAGTAATTTACTAAGCAGAAGCAATATTTACTTATTTTAATCAGTAATATGAATTTCTGAATAATTCATTCCAGATAAGGAGGAAAATCACCTGTGATTACTGTTAAGTGTTCCCATTCAGGATAAAGCTCAGATAAGTAGACATTTTTGAAAAAGACAGCACTGCGAGGTATTAGCTACAGAAATTATCTTGCACTGTTAGTAAAAGTGAAAACTGGTACAGTCCTTCTTGAGAAAAGTTTGGCGACATGTATTAAAATTTAAAATGTGCATACTCCTTGATCTATCCATCTCACCACAGAAACTTAAACCAAGGAGATAATTGGATGAGATATTCATCATAATACTGATTAAAATAATGAAAACTGGAAGCAATCTAAATGTCTATTAATCGAGTCGTGGGTAAATTATTTACAGTGCACCAGGAAATACTGTGAAGTCATTTAAAAAGAAACCATCTATGTTCATTCTTCACAGGAATTACTGAGTGAAAAGGGATCCCATTACAGAGAACTTTTGTTGTTTTCTTGTGTCAAATCCCAGTATTTCTTAGTCTTTGAAGACTGTTTTTTGGCATATAGCCTCTTACACTTAACTTATTAATGCTTGTCTGATTACTAGAGGCTCCCACCATACTGTGAAATTCCCCAGAATAAGGACTGTATTATGTCCTTTCTCCAGAGTTTAGAAGAGTGCCTGGCACAATAAATATTTATTAAATAAAATAAAATTAAATTAGGGTGCCTGGGGGGCTAAAGTCAGTTAAGCATCTGCCTTTGACTCAGGTCATGATCTCATGGTCCTGGGATGCAGCCCAGCATCGGGCTCCCTGTTCAACAGGGGGTCTGCTTCTCTCTCTCCTTCAACCTCTGCCCTTCCCCCCACCCTGCTTGTGCTCTCACGTCTCTCTCACTTTCTCTCTGTGAAATAAATAAAATCTTTTAAAAATTTGTTAAGTTAGGGACGCCTGGTGGCTCAGCAGTTGAGCGTCTGCCTTCGGCCCACGGCATGATCCTGGCATCCCAGAATCGAGTCCTGCATCGGGCTCCCTGCATGGAGCCTGCTTCTCTCTCTGCTTATGTCTCTGCCTCTCTCTCTGTGTCTCTCATGAATAAATAAAATAAAAAATTAATACAAAAAATGGTATATACATCGTTTAAATGCTTAAATGCACTTATAATCAAAGATATATAGATTTTAAAAATGAAAGAGGATTTTCTCCCAGTCAAATTTGTCAACCCAAAAGATACCCACTTTGGTCAAGGATAGGAAGAAATGGAAAAAAACTATTATGTTGTAAATAGTAACCATCACAATATAACTAGAAGGTATTTTGGCCACATGTGTAGCATACAGCACAGATTCTGAGGTCAGACAGAATGAAAATGAAGATAGGCTTTGCCTTATAACTAGTTACCTGAACTGGGGAAGTTATGTAGCACTTCTAAACTTCAGTTTCCTCATTTGTAAAGGAAATCAGATTTACTGAGAAATAAACCAACATGATACTTAGCTGCAATATTAAAGCTTATTAAAATTAAATAATAAGACCTCAAAGAGCTACTTATATCTGTTTGATTTTTTTTTAAAGTTTATTTAAGTAATCTCTACATCCACTTGGGGCTCAAACCCCTGATCAAGAGTCACATGCTCTTTGGACTGAGCCAGTCAGGTGTCCCTACTTAAATCTATTTTAAAATTAAGTGATGTCTTTCACAAAAATCTTCCACATAAAATAACTGACTAAATTTTCTCCATAAGCTGGATATAATTCATTTATTCATCCCACAACTATTTGTTGGGCACAGTATTCAGCATCTGGCTGAATAAAAGATTGTGTCAGGTACATGGTCTAGTCACAGGGGATGACTAATGAAAAACTAAGTCCCTATAACAGTGAGAGAAAGATAAATCTGAAAATACATGACAAAGTGAACCACTGAAACACGCGGGCAGAGAGGCGAGGATTTCTCTAATGAGAGGACATGTGAACAGAGACCCGAAAAGTGATGAGGCTAGTTATGTAAGGGTAACAAAGGTGCAGCTGCAGGAGCTTGTGACAGCAACAGAGACCAGCATGGCTAAAGAGAGGAAATCAACCAGGAAGGGTGGTAGGTGAGGTCTGAAAGGTAACCTATATCAGGCTCTGTGTGGCTTTGCAGGCCAAGGTAAGGATGTGGAGTTTTTTTCTTATTTTTTTAATTTTTTATTTTATTTATTTATTTATTTATTTATTTATTTTAAATTTTTATTTATTTATGATAGTCACAGAGAGAGTGAGAGAGGCAGAGACACAGGCAGAGGGAGAAGCAGGCTCCATGCACCGGGAGCCCGACGTGGGATTCGATCCCGGGTCTCCAGGATCGTGCCCTGGGCCAAAGGCAGGCGCCAAACCGCTGCGCCACCCAGGGATCCCTATTTATTTATTTATTTATGATAGTCACACACACACAGAGAGAGAGACAGAGGCAGAGACACAGGCAGAGGGAGAAGCAGGCTCCATGCACCGGGAGCCCGACGTGGGATGCGATCCCGGGTCCCCAGGATCGCGCCCTGGGCCAAAGGCAGGCGCCAAACCGCTGCGCCACCCAGGGATCCCAGGATGTGGAGTTTGTTCTGAGTATGATGGAGAACAGTGGAAGGTTCTGAGCAGGGCAATGACATCATTACATTTTTACCTTAAGAGGTTTACTCTGGCTATTTGGGGGTTAAATTGATTAAAAGGGGCAAGAGTGAAATGAAAGCAGGAGGCCACTTAGAGGCCACCATCATAGTGTGAGTGAGAGACAGTGGCTTCATGGTGAGAAATAGTCACATTCAGGATACAGTTCAGATGTAGTGCTGTCAGGATTCCACTTCTAAAAACCTAACTCAAAGATTTCACTGTTGCTATTCAAAAAGGTTTAAATGCAAGGATGCACAAAATAAGCTGCTCACAACTTGATACAAGTTGATCGGTATAAAAGAGGTAGTCATTTAGAAATGATTTTGAACACATAATGACATGGAAAAATGTTCATATACTATGTTACGTGAAAATAGCTGGTTATAAAACAAAATGTTCAATATTAATCCAGTTTGTCCCAAAAAAATGTATAGAAAAAGATTGGGGGTGCCTGGGTGGGTCAGTTGGTCAAGCATCCAACTCTTGATTCCAGCTCAGGTCATAATTACAGGATCATGAGATCAAGCCCTGTGTTGGGCTCTGTGCTCAGCGGGGAGTCTGCTTGAGATTCTCTCCCTCTGCCCCTCCCCCTGTTCGCTCTCTCTCCCCCCTACAATAAATAAATTTTATTTTTTTTATTTTTTATTTTTTATTTTTTTTAATTTATTGATTTATTTATGATAGTCACACACACAGAGAGAGAGAGAGAGAGGCAGAGACACAGGCAGAGGGAGAAGCAGGCTCCATGCACCGAGAGCCCGATATGGGATTCGATCCTGGGTCTCCAGGATCGCCCCTGGGCCAAAGGCAGGCGCCAAACCGCTGCGCCACCCAGGGATCCCTACAATAAATAAATTTTAAAAAGAAAAAAGATTGAAGGTTATACACCAGCATGTTAGCAAAATATCTCTCTGGGTTGTGAAATTACCAATTTGACACTTTTCTTCATTGAGCTTACTGTATTTTTCAAATTTTCTGTAATGACAATATATTACTTCTGTAGGAAGAAATGATCTAAAAATGTAATAATGAGAAGAACATTTCAACAAATATGATTACTGATGAATAGCCATTTGAGTCTATTAATAGTTTTATTACTTACCATTACTTTGCGCAAAGTGTATCTTTTGGATCGAATGTCATCCATCAGCATCTCATAAGGGGTGAGTTGATATTCGATGGGCAAAGGATTGTACTGCCGCTCTTGGACCTTCTTGAGTTTTACTCCATTCCGCAAATCCCTCATCACCTGTACCCAGAATCGAGCCTAAAAGAACCAGGGATGGGAGAGATGTCCATGAATAAGTTTGCTTATTTCCTCTAAACAGTTACAGTCATAAAGAAAAAGAGCAAAACACTGAGTAAACCAAACAAAACCAATTTTTAAAATTAGGTTTTAGGATATTAAAAAGTTGGTAGAAAGCCATTAGAGAATCACAAGCTCTAGGTGCTGAGTCACCTAAGTGTAAACCCTAACTTACCCACTGTAGAAGGTTGCACCAATGGCCTGTTCTTCATGCCTCCTGTGTCTAGATCCTGTTATGTGATTTTGCTCACTAAAGAGGAGTGTATGTCCTGTACCCTAACATTGGATTTGGCTATGTCATTTGCTTGGCCACTGAAATAGCAGTTGATATGATGTGACCAAATGCTGCAAAAGCAAATGCACAATGGGCTTGTCACTCATGCTTCTATTATTGCAATGAGAACCTCATGCCTAGATCAGTGTGTTGCCCAGGAGAAGGATGAGACACACATAGACTGGAGTTACAATAACTGATCTGCATACTCATGAGCTAAATAAATGTACTGTTTTATGCAACTATGATTCTGTAGTAGTTGGTTATGCAGCATTATTGTGACCAGAGCTAATTAATATATCCACCTGTTAGCTACCGGACATCTAGCAAGTTGCTTCACCTTTCTGAACCCTGGCTTCTTCATCAATAAAATAAAATAGTACTTCATAACTTGCTGAGATGGTCAGAGATGATACATAGTGTTCTGTACACGGAAAATGCTCAAAAATGACAATTTTTATGTTATTACTATCTTTGTGTAAATTATTTAATAACCATTTTCTTATCAACAAATAATAGTAAGTTGCCTTGCTGGCCCCTCAAGAAAATAAGATATATATGAAGCACTTACAATAATATAAGACACATTAAATATGCATATTATTATTATTATTTTAATCCTTTTATTTTCCTACCTTTAAGCTAAAGTATCATAGTCTCTGCTTCCATGAAAAGTAAATTATTATAATAATTAACTGAAACACTGTAGTTTGTTGAAATTAATAAGCAGCTCAAGTAGTTACTTAAATGTATTTACTAAAAACCAAGTGATAGGGGTATCTGGCTGGTTCAATCTGAAGAGCACTGGATTCTTGCCCAATTTGAGCCCCATGCTGGGTATAGAGATTACTTAAATAAAAAATTTTTAAAAAGCAACTGATGTATTTCCTAAGACTTATCTACATAAAATAACTATGGATTAAATGTCTTAAAAATGTTTTCAAAAACAATTTGATTTTAAAAACATGCATGCCACTTCTTATTCCAAAAAGGATATGAATATGAATACAATACTGTGGTATAGCCCTTAGGATACTTTCTAAAATATTCCTATTTTATTTTTTAAATTTATTTTACTTTTTTTGTTTTCTTTTATAAACCCTTGTGTCGAGGGCTGACTTTCAATAGATCGCAGCGAGGGAGCTTCTCTGCTTGGTATGAAACCGGACCCAGCAGCAGGTCTCCTGCGAGTGGTTTAGCATCAGGCTCCCCACGAACACGCGTTGTGTGAGGGGCGAGGGGGCGGCCCCCTTCCTGGAGTAGCCCGTTTCCCGGGAGGAGGGGCTCTCCGCAGAGGACCCTGGTCCCCACCTGCGGCAGGGACGGCAGGTGACCAGCCATCCAAGGCTGAGGCCAACCGAGGCTCTGCGGCGCTACCATGTAGGTCCGCCTGGGTGGGATTCTGACTTAGAGGTGTTCAGTCATAATCTCACAGACGGTAGCTTCACCCCATTGGCTCCTCAGCCTAAAATATTCCTATTTTTAAACAGACTTTTGGATTCTGCCATTAAAGTTACTCTAATACAATATTCCTAAAATATTTAGATTACTCTTTTGAGAATGTTCTTGTCCCAAATTCTCTTATACTCATTCCTTTAAGATCCAGTTCAAATATCATCTCATCCTTTAAAATCCTGTCTCTTCTCTTGACCTCCCCAGGCTTTAAGAAAACCTGACATGTGAAACCTCGAATTCTCAAAAACAGATAAATTAGAGGGGCAGAGGGTGGGGAAGAAGTAGACCCCCTCCCCCTCCAGCAGGAAACCTGACACCCAGGCTACATCCCAAGAGTCTGGAATGATGACCTGAGCTGAAGGCAGACACTCAACTAAATGAGCCGTCCAGGCACCCCTCATTTCCTTCTAATATTTCTAAATAATTCATTTTAATGTTCTTACAAGAAACAGACTGGTGATCTAGGCAAATGGAACTCCCTTTGGAATTAGTGCATCTCTTGTCAGTAATCTTGCTAGTTTTTAAAAGAGGCTGCCTTAAGACAATAAATTAAATTTTTACTTCAAGTTTTTATTAGCTGTTTGCTAAATTCGGACCACCTGGAGTTATTTATCTGGCTTCCATGTCAAAAAAAAAACACATTTAAAAATCTTTTAGGGAAGATGAAATACACCTGGAAAAAGACTACCAGACGTCTATACAAAGGAAATTTCATAATTAATATTATTCTAAAATGACAGTACTCACTTATTAGATATTATAGGCTGTTTTTAAATTTACTTTTAAATGTTCCAGATTTATATAATTCCAAATATCAAAAAAAATTCCAAATATCTCAGTAAAGATATCATCAATAATCAATAAATTAAGAATATTTACATTCATACATTAATATATGTAGATCCACACAACGGGAATGGACTACTACTAGTAATAAAAACATTAAACTATTCATACAGGCATTCATGTATGTGAATCGATGAACATTCATTCATCCATTCAACCTGGATGAAATCTCAAAAGAATTATGCTGAATGGAAGAAGTCAAGCAAAAAATAGTACATACTACAGGATTATATTCATATAAAATTTTAGAAAATACAAACTAATCTATAGTGAGAGAAAACAGATCACTGCCTAGAAGCTGGGGAGAAAGGAAGCAGGAAAGAGGATTACAAATGGGTATGAGGAAACTTTGGAGGTGATGGATGGGCTCATTAATTTGATTATATGATGGTTTCATGGGTATGTATGTGTATATGTATATGCCAAAACTTATTGTGCTTTTTAAGTATGTGCAACTTGTATGCTGATTATACTTTAATAAAGCTTTTAGAAAATAATTAAACAATTAAAAACAATTAAAAACAATTAAACAATTAAAAACAATTAAAATATAATATGGTCAAAAACAACTTGTTTATGTCCCCCAAATCTACATCTACTGCTAGTCCCTCATTTAATGTCATTAATTAATAATTATAAATTATTTAATTTTCATTCTCAACCTGAAAAGTCAGAACACTGAAAGTGCCTTCCCACTGACACCTGAACACATCTCAATCTAATTTAATGACACTGACTCTCCTGTCCTCCATCCAGGCTGTCATGTTGACCCAACTCTAAGTCATATATGAGGGCAGGGACTCTTGGGTTTCACTAGGATCTAGAACCATGCCAGAAAACAGTGGCTAGTCAAAGTTTGTTGCATAAATATAATGCAATCATCTGTGCTCAAAGTCTGTCTTCTGTTTTGAGGTGAGAGATCCTGTATTATTCATTTTGTATCACCAGAACCTAATCCAGTAACTATTCATCAGATAAATGAATGTACTACATTATAATTTCATACCTTATTATGAATAGAGCTTCAACTTTGACTTACAAGAGTATGCTAAGGTATTAATATAATTAGAAAGGTCAATATTTTATCTTTTTAAAAGATTTTATTTATTTGACAGTGAGAACAGCAGGCAGAGGGGGAGAGGTTCCTGCTGAGTGGGAAGCCCAATGTGGGGCTCAATCCCAGGACCCTGGGATCATGACCTGAGCCAAAGGCAGACAGATGCTTAACTGAATGAGCCATCCAGGTGCCTGAAAGATCAATACTTCTTTTAAAACACCAAAATTCTTAGAAGACATTGGGGGTAGTTTTATCCATTTAGTTTAGTAAAATGGGGAATACACAGTTCCTGAAATGTTAAGACTCGGCATTCAAATTCATACAATATCAATACATATTATAGCCCTTAATAGCAAGTATTTAAAAAAAAATTACACCATGGGGTGCCTGGGTGGCTTGGTTGGTTTAGCATCGGACTGTTGGTTTCAGTGCAGGTTATGATCTCAGGGTCCTGAGACTGAGTCAGGCGTTGGGCTTCCCACTGAGCAAGAAGCCTGTTTCTCCATCTCTTTCCCTCTTCCCCTCCCCCCACTCACACTCTCTCTCCAAAATCAATAAATAGATCTTTAAAAAATAACAACAAAACCCCCCAAAACCACATTACACTATATCTTCAACATTAAGTAGAACAGAGAATGCCCAATTCCCTTACCCAATCAGCATTTTTCAGCTCTTCCAGGTCTGTGTTAGATTCATCAGTCTTTTCCATTTCTTGAATCTTCTTAAGATTCTACCAATTAAAATAAAAAGAAAACATTTAGGTATAAACATTTCACTAAGTTACCTTTCAAATTAAAATTTCTAACAGATACCTTCAGGCAAAGTACATTAAGAAGTGTTACTGAAGTAGATAGTACAGAATATATCCTCTGTAGATTTCAGTCATGGTAGACCAGAATAAATACACAACTACAGAGGGGTGAACTGAGATTGCTAACTGTACTTTCTTTCTAGGTCTTGTGGCTAAACCTTTGTCACCATATTAACTTGCACCCCCCTAAACTATATTGATACTGCCCTCTTCCTCAACCCCCATATTCAATCCAGCCTTAAATCTCATAGCTGTTACTTCCTCCATATAACCTAACCCCTCTTCCTCTTATATCCACTGCAGATCTCTTAATCCAAACACCTCTGAGGACAAAAACAATGACTTGAGGTATATATTATTCTGTTGACTAGAAGAGTGTTTTTTCCAGCTTCTTATAATTAAAATAGTGAAAGAAAAGAGATTTAAGGAGGGACACCTGGGTAGCTCAGTTGTTGAGCATCGGCCTTCGGCTCAGGGTGTGATCCTGAGGTTTGGGATCAAGTCCTGCATTGGGCTCCACGCAGGGAGCCTGCTTCTCCCTCATCCTATGTCTCTGCCCACCCCCCTCTCTCTGTCTCACATGAATAAATAAATAAAATCTTTGAGAGAGAGAGAGAGAGAGAGAGAGAGAGAGAGAGAGGCAGAGACACAGGCAGAGGGAGAAGCAGGCTCCATGCAGGGAGGCTGACATGGGACTCAATCCTGGGACTCCAGGATCAGGCCCTGGGCTGAAGGTGGTGCTAAACCACTGAGCCACCCAGCCTACCCAAGAACAGTCAAATCTTAAATCTCAATAGCTCTTATCATGTCAACTTTAATAAGAAGCCAAATGAAAGGGAAAAAATACTCAGAGGAAAATCTGAATTTTCTTCTCTAAATTCAGAATTCACTGGCAGGGTGAGTAGAAAACTCTTATCTATGCCACACAAAAAAATATGCTCTCCAGGGAAATAAATATGTAACTCAAGCTCCCATTACATTTAAGTGTCTCATTCAATAAACAGATGATAAGATAAATAATAAGCAAATTAAAAGGGAAAATTAATCTGCCTAACACCACACAGAAGAAATGAAGTAACAATAACACTAAACAGGTCAACAAGATTCAGTCTGCACCAAAATAAAATGGTTTGTAACCTTAATGCCTGAGATGATCGAGTGTGTCTACTTGGGCCAACATTCTAACCTTTCAATCTGGAGCCATGAAAACAAAGAGCCCCATACTTCACTAAATTCTTTCTGTCCTATTTCCCCCATCACCTTAAGGCTGACTCCTCAAAAAGTACTATATTGCTTACCAATGATCTATAAACCAAAAGATAATGAAAAAAGCAGAAAACATGATGCAGAAGCTCACTTTTACAAGCCTATATTGTTTTTACATTTTTTCAATGGTCTCTAGATCATTCTAGGATCCAGACAACAGAAGGCAAGACAAACAGTATAGGGATAGTAGAAGATGGATGGTCTTTGGCAAGAGAAAATATTTATCTTTTTTTTCTTGATTCCTACTGTTACTACCAAAGTTCATTACAAGTCTCTTAGCTGTTCCTTCTGCTCCAGTTTCTTCCTCATTTGGTTAATCTTTTCACTTCTCTATGGTGGGTTCCTAGGCTCCCTGCTGTGGCCTTCAAACTGGGGTACCTGTACTTTTGGGGACCTCTAGTCAAACAGTAAAGTGATATGCCAGGGAGCATTTACAATAACATATAAACATGACACATTTCCCTGGAGTGCATTTTACTCACAGATAATGTGATGGATGCTGTGGTAAGCTGTCCAGCTTTACACCATGCACACCTCCCCCCCCCCCCCCCACCTTCCACCGGCTGCTGGAGGTATGGTCTGACAAACGCTTATGGCTTAATCCTGCTCCAGGAGCTGCACTCAGTGTTCGGAGCAAAGAGCTACCCTGCCGCAGGTATGCCCCGTCTCTGGGGTAGCCCATATCCAATCATGGGTCCATGTGGAAGTACACAGATCAGGCTTCCCTGCCTCCCTTGGTACAACTCTGAAGGGCCATCTCAACTTCCAAGCTCCCTGTGGGATTGGCTGAGGCCTGCTGTATCTGCATCATAGTTCAGCTTTTCCTTCACCCACCCTCACAATTGTTCCCCAGTGCAATTCCTAATAAAACCTCTTGTATTCAAATTTTGCCCCTCAGAATCCATTTCCTGGGGGAACTCAATCTACATATGGAATGTTTAAAATATTTTAACAGATACAGGTGTATAAAACAAAATTTATATGGATTTTAAAGACAAAATGCATGATTTCAAAAACATTTTTTTTAAAAGAATTTATTTATTTATTCATGATAGACACAGAGAGAGAGAGAGAGGCAGAGACACAGGCAGAGGGAGAAGCAGGCTCCATGCAGGATCGCGCCCTGGACCAAACGCAGGCACCAAACTGCGGAGCCACCCAGGGATCCCCTCAAAAACATTTTTGACTTGCACTAAACAGTATATCCCTCAGTGGGCATCTGTTTTGTCTAGAAACCTTTTCTCCCTTCCTTCTTTCCATTGAAGAAAGCAGCCCATACAGTTTGAGTAGAGCTAATAACCCCCTGCCCGGTACACCTCATCGCCAACTCACAAGGGTGAAGACCTCCTCCATCAATGAGTGGGACCCATTTTCCTGACCACAGCAAATAGTTCTTAAACAGGTACATGACTGAATTTTCCTCCAAGATATTTCTGTCCCAATTAAGAGAAAAGATTTTCTGCTGGAGTTACTGAACTGAGAGAATGTGAGGTATAGGTTATAGACTGTCATCTTACCTGCTTTTTAGTAAAAGCCCATCCTAGGGAGAGAAAGAAAGCCCCAATTACAGGTTTTGAGACACTAGATCAAGCTGTGCTTAAAGCTAGCCTACTCTTAGACTTCCCACTTATGTGAGCTAGTGGGAGGAGCTATCTTCCTCCACTCTACCCAAGGTAATTTGAGCGGATTTCTGTTACTTGCAACTGAAAGAGTTATGATTTAGGATGCCCCCTTAATCCAGAAATATGAGTTCATGTATCTGTGTTTTAGGAGTATTCTGGTGGAGTAATATGAGAAGCATATAGTCCCTTTTCCACCCAACTTTAAATTTTACTGTTCTCCAACACATTCCTGACTAAATGTAGTCCAGATGGTCTCACTGTTACACCTTTATGCATCTCTACCTTTACCTCTGGGCTCTAATAAAATCCCTAACTCACTGCTACTAAGAAAAACTATCCACTCTTTATAATACTAAAGATAGTTTAAATATATACTCCAAGAATTTGACGTTTGTCTGAATAGTAGCACAAATTGTAGTTCAGACACTTCCTAGTTGTGTGACTTTATACAAGTCATTTAACTGCTCTATTTAATCTACTGTCATGTTAAGTATTTAGTATTAGTTATTATAAGCCAATACATATTTTTGAGAATTTGATTGTGAACACTTTTACTCCATCAAAAAACATCTTATTCTTTTACCAAATGAAACCTTTCTCTAGTCTCTTCATGAAATCAAAGTCTTGACTCATCAATAAATCAAATAGTTGAGAATCTGTGAATACCATAATTGAACAAGCCTGCACAAATGTGCAACTAGAAATCTCAGATTTAGCAGAAAAAATAAATGAGTTATTTGAAAGTAAACTACATATTTTTCTAGTTTTAGTGGCAAACTTCTGTCAATTACATTCTAGCTTCTAAATAGATTTTTTGTATATAAAAATGTAATAACGATGCCAACTTGTGCTTGAAATATGGTGAGAACATTCTACATTACAACACACATGGCAATTAACTCTGCATTTCTGATATAACCATTCTCACGCTAACAATTAGAACTGTCCCATGACAACACTGTTTCTGGCATCTTAAAAAATAAATAAAATCTACTCTGTGAATCACAAGTATAACAAATGCCCAAAGAGTAATTTTAATTCAATTGTGTAGGTTCAACGTCAGCTCACACATAAATGCCCATCCTTGTAAATATATTCATGTATTAGAAGAATATGTTAATAAAAGCATTCCGATAATGACAGTTTTCCTCCATACTGTTAATCATTTAAAACTATCATTTATTGATATCCTCTATGTACTGAATACACATTTTCAGTTAGAAACTTTTAAATGCGTAAAAAGGAGTATGTTTTAATAATTCCTTAAACTTTTTCTTACTCAATATTCACTAATATACTTTCAAAGAAATTGCTAAATCCATTTCCCAAGTGACAAAATCACTTATACAAATGTTGCCTGTAAAAAAAACAAAAAACAAAACAAAACAAAAAAAATGTTGCCTGTAATAAATAGAACATGTATGTCAGCTACAAAGATTAAGAGCCATGATGTCCTGAGATATTTTTACCACAGAGAAAAGCAAGAAAAGGAATTTTATCTTATTTACCAGCCCCAAATTAGTATTTTGAAAATTAGGGTATAAAAAACTCCCAGGGAATTATAACAGTTCTTCTGATAACTGAAAGTCTCCTATGTAGATTAAAGAGTTAATGGATAATTATTGAAGAATATGATTTATATTTTCATTAAGTTTTATGGTACTTCCTTAAAGATATAACATACTCTTCTCCCTAAGGGGTATGACAGGGAGAAGATAACTACAATAAATTGAGAGAAAGTCAGAATTTTATTTAATGAGAAAATGTAAAATGTTAAGATACTAAACTGTAAGTCGATAATTTTTATAAGACTGAATTTCTGAAGAAATTAGAAGAACTACAGACAAAGTCATCAAAATGAAGGAAATTCATTTCCACATTCTAGGAAAAGAATATCATTCCTATATTACAATATTTTTGCTAACATACACACACACACACAGGCTGAGGGTTTAATGACCATCTGCTCCAAGTAGCTGTACCCATAGTATCTTCCTAGATACATAATCACCCTTTCAGTTTTCATACTCA